AGAACATACATTTCACCCCCCATCCTAAACAGAACAGACCAACTCGCAGTCAGCCATAAAGAAAAATGTAACATACTCCGTGAAAACCTCTTCCCCCAACCACCATCACTACCACACTCCCCAAATATCAACCTGACCCCGCGCAATGACGACATGGAATATGTAAGCGTGACGAAGGGCGAAGTCCGCGACTCCATATTCACTGCTGCCCAACTAAACGCTCCAGGCATCTCAGGCCTGACGGGCCGTGCATGGAGATGGGCCTGGGACGTAATGGAAGATGAAATCTTCCACCTACTGAGACTCTGCGCTGACTCGGGTTACCACCCTAAAGCATGGAGAACATCCATCGCGGTAGCACTGCAGAAACCAGGCAGAGACTACTCACTCCCCCGATCCTACAGACTAATCCAACTGTTGGAAGTGTCAGGAAAAGCGCTAGAGAGGATCCAAGCACGGAGACTGGCCTTCTTAGCGGCAAAACACCAACTCTTCCCAAACACCCAGTACGGAGGACTACCAGGCAGATCAGCACAGGACGCCCTGCTCACCATCACACACGACATAGAAGCCGCATGGAACCACAACAAAGTGGTGTCAATGCTCACCTTCGACATCACCGGCTTTTTCGACTTCATCCCACACGCGCACCTGCTAGACACGATGAGGAAACTACATATCCCCACCCCCATCGTGAGATGGACACACAGCTTCCTATCGGAGAGGAAAGCAGCAATCTGCCTTGATGGCAAACGCGATAAGCTCAAACCCATAACAACAGGCGTCCCCCAGGGTTCATGTGTATCCCCGATCCTCGCGGCCTATTTCACTTCCCCGATGTGCAAGGCTATAGCCGAGGAAACCACAAAGAAAATAGAAGGAGACCCAGAGCTAAGCCCGCAATACAACAAAGGCATAAAACTATCACCACTTACGCTTTATGTAGATGACGGCTCACTGGCGGTGTCAGCCCCATCTAGAGCAGAAGCGACAAAGGTGATCCAGCTGGCGTTTGTTGCAGCACACAACTGGTTAAAGCAGAGAGGACTAAAGACCGACCAGGTGAAGAACGAACTTATGCACTTCACCAAAACCAAGACCGGCAGAAATGCAGGTCCAGGCCCATCAGTCACTATCCCCTCGAACGAAGAAGGCGCAACCAGAACAATCCACCCATCCAACCTTATGAGATACTTAGGTATCTGGTTCGACCCACACCTCAAGTTCACGGAGCACATAAAAAAGACAGCCGCGAAAGCTTCGGGCGTGGCACACGCACTAAGGATGTTAGGAAACTCCGAGAGAGGCATACACCAAACACATCTCCGCCAGATGTACATAGGTGCTGTACTCCCAATAGTCTTATACGGCCTACCCATCTTCTGGCGATCAAAGCGCGGCTTAATTCTCAGAACTTTATCTACTCTACAGAATAAATGTCTGAGAATGCTAACAGGCGCTTTCCGCACGACCAGCATCACCGCGATGGAAATAGAGGCCTCCATTCCCCCCATCGACATTTATCTAGATTACAGAATGGAAATGGAGGCAACCAGACTCGCCCGCATCCCCGATGACCACCCGCTGATCAATAGACTCTACCCACACCAAAGAAGACTCACCACTCCAACTTCCCCCCACCTCTCCCAGTCTTCGACCCACAGAAGAAATACAAGTCCGACCCACGAAAGCGCTTCTCAACCTGCATCACCCGCATCGCGCAACACATAATCCCGGGCACGGAAAGAATAAGGCCACTCCTTGAAAGCCCATGGGACACATCTGCACATGACATCACCGACCGAATCCAACTCTTCACCCCGCCAGACGACCCTGGAAACTCATTCAAACAGGAATGGGCTGACGACCACATGAACTTCGTTGCGGAATGTGAAGATGACCCAAACACACTCCTCGTCTACTCAGATGGATCCCGATACAAAGATGATGGCAGAATCAAAACTGGCTTTGGCGCAGTAGGATACTCACATGGCAAAGTTGTCTTCGAAGAGAAAGGAGCAATGGGCGAACATGTTGAAGCCTACGACGCAGAGATGATGGGCCTGAAAACAGCCGCGGATGGAATCAGACGCACCCTAGATGACGGTAACGTCACCACAAAACCCACCCGCATCGTCATATACGCAGATAATACTAGCGCACTAAAACGCATCTTTCAGGGTAAACCTCGCAAGGCCCAGGAACTAGCCAGGGACTTCAGGAATACCATATGCAAAGTCCTAACAGACTCTGAGGAGACGAAAATCGCATTGCACTGGTGCCCAGGCCATCTTGGAATTCCGGGGAACGAGAGAGCCGACCAGCTAGCAAAAGAAGGCGCACAACTCAGACCAGCCCGACCCAATTTTAAATCACTCTCGTACATAGAGAGCCTGCGCAGGAGAGAGATGGCCGAAACATGGACTCACCGATGGACGAACACACCGAACCCCCCGAGATCGGGCTTCTACGCAGCGAACCAACTCGCACCGAAGCTCAGACCCACCAAACGGTTCAAAAAACTCGACAGAAAAACCTTCAGCCGCGTAATCCAGTTCCGAACAGGACATGCTCACATCGGCGAGTACTACCACCGATTCGGAATCACAACGGAGAATAGAGCATGTCAATGCGGTAAATCAACACAAACGAGGGCCCACATTCTGACGGAGTGCCCCCGGACAAGTAGACACAGATACCTACTAGGTCGCGGAAACCAGACGAAATTCCACATCCTCATGGGCAAGATGAAAGGCATAGAAAGGCTTGCCAATTTCATCAAAAAGTCCAAGACAGGCGACAAACCGACGACAACAAACACACCGCGAGGACCGCCATCGCCCGACCGACTCACAGGATAGACGAAGCAGAACAGGACTTGCAGGGGACAGACGGAACCTCTTCATTTTTTCCATTTCTTATTTTTATTTTTTTATCACCACGACAATACCTATGGACATCACAGAACCCGAGGATCATTGACACCCGAATACACCACCCAGAATACCACCATGTATAGATATTCCCCCCATGTACGCTCCGGTGTTAGGACGGGATAGCCGCACTGCCACGTCATCACGAGGCCGCGGGGTATTAAGATAGATTTATCATCATCATCACCCGCTGTATAGTTAGTTAGGGAGGGTTATCAGCACCGTACCCGAGGACCCCACTACATCTGTCTGACACTAGAGAGAGACCTACCCCCCCCCAGGCCTGAGCCACGAGTCTAGATTGATAGACCCGTTACAAGTCTGGTGGTCCTTACAGGGGGGGTACACTTTTCTCTGTCATCACGCAAGTTTCACACTGTTCATTTGTTTGAAAAACTTATCATTCGCTGTGGATATCAAGTATTGTTGGTTGCAGACACAGAAAAACAAGACTAGTACAAGCCCAGGGATCCAAGTGGGATCCATACGCATTAGACGCACACACTCGCTGCAATTGTCCACTCCTGGAGGATCTCAAGAAGAGGCACAGGAGTCCGTGTTTGGGATCTACGAGTTACGGATCCGCACGGTTTGCACAAGTTTGCCCGAATCTATCGTGATTGTCATCTCCTGGCGGACCTCAAGACGAGGTACAGGAGACTGTTTTATTTGTTGGTCAAGTCGCTCCCTCCTGGTGGATCTCAAGACGAGGCACAGGAGCCTGTTTTTCAGCTGTTTTCCATACATTTACTCGCATTCTACTTGCGTTTGACTTCAAGTTATTCTCATTCATTCATTCCCCATTGCCGGACATCAAGAGGCATAGGGATTCACGAACATTATCATATCGGGCCCAGAGTCGCCCGGACGTTCTAGAAGCCCACTCCCGAGTTTTTACTTTCAAGTTGATCTTTTGCATGGATCCAAGTCCTGCCATTGTAGCGCCCATGTTTTACGCGCCCATGCCGATGCCCCGCAGCCCAGATGCACCCCGATTCAGAGGCAAACGGATTGTCAAGTTCCTTAACAAATACGAGTCACTGGCTGACACAGCACTTTTCACGGAAGCTCAGAAATGCGATTTTCTGACCGCTTACTGCACTGACAAGGAAGCGAGGTTTATTTCCACCCTGGACGGATTCGAGAACCCAAATTGGGTGTTGCTCAAGAAAGACCTGCTGGACTTTTATGGTGTTGACGAAGAACAGCCTCGATATCGCATGAAGGATCTCCGCAACTTCGTAGAGAAAGGTCGCAAAATGAAGACTGGCGACCATCTTAACCGATATTTGCGCAAGTTTAGTGCTATTTCCGGGTCCTTAGATGCACAGGGTGCCCTCACCATCGTTGAGCGCGATGTGTTGTTTTTCCATGGATTTCCGTCGAAGTTTAGAAAAGAGATCAAGTTTGACCTGCAAGTTCAAAGCCTGTGGCTTGATTTGACTCAGCCCCCCAGCATGCACGATGTTGTTGCAGCGGCAAGGGCCATGCTCCAAGATGCCCACCATCACGAAACAACTAGTTCCCATTTATCGATGTCCGATGCGCGGACCAGTGTAAATGTCGCTTCACCATTACTTTCAATGCAGTTCACAGTCCAGAGTGATTTCGTGCCCGAGTTCGATGCAGAGACAAGTACCAATGGCTCGATGCTAGATCAGATGGACCAGTACCAATCCGAAGCCTGCGAAGCGCGGAGCGCCTACGGAACCAAGTCTATCGTTATGTCCGGAGATTACGTGGCTGAGCCAGAATTTGATGACGCAAGACTAGAGGCAAGTGCCTGCGACAGTGCAAGTTTTTCCGAGGTGTTAGAGCTCAATGATCAAGAGCTAAGGCCTAGCAGCCTCGAACCTGTCTCAGAACCCGATGTTCTTGAAGACCAAGTCTGCCAGACCTTAGAGCCGGCTGCGATCTACTCAGTGTCTCCAGACAAAGCCGGAGAGCCTCAGCCAATGGAGGCGATTCCATACTACGAATCTGATATAGCCAACCGCAAAATAGTTGATGATGTCTTCGATTTAGACTCGCGTTCTGATGATGAGAACTTTTGCGAAACAGCCCATGATGTACCCAGCCTTGATTTGGATTCGTGCCGTGACAACGAAAGTCCCCATGAGACAGTTTATGAGCGCTTCGATCTGGACTCATATTTCGGTGATGGTACTGATAGTGAACCGGGTGATGACTACGATCCTGACTGGGAGTCGTACATTGAGAAGGCTAAAGGCGCGGAATCGAGCCACAGATCAGAGATGCCAAGTGCCGCCGAGTCCGGCGTGGAGATGAGCTCCTGTGATGCCCTTACCAGTTCCTCTGTGTCGCCAGAGCCTGATGACAAAGAGCTGAGGCCTAACGGCCTTGAGTATGTCTATGAACGCGACTCCTTCGCTGAAGACCTAGGTCCCTCAAAACAAGTGCCTACCGAGCCGCTAGATCAATGCCCGTCCGAAACACACATGACACCCAGCGCTGCTGAGGCGAAGTCGATTGCCATACCACTGAGTTATGAGTCCGAGCAAGAGCTTGACGATGCAAGCTACTTTGACATACTAGAGCATAGCTATAAAGAGCTTAGGCCTATGGGCCTCGAATGCACATTGGAATCCGAGATTCTCATGCAAGACCTCGTTTGCCCAGATGAAGTCAAGGAGCCTCAGTCAATGGAGGCGATCGGATTTTATGACGAGTTTCATTCGGCCAAGTCCAGGTTGAAATTTGAGTTAGAAACGTCGCCTATGTCCAAGGATGCAACTGTACTGCCATTTAGCGGAGACTACTACCTTACATATGCGCGAGGAGAGCGTGTCTCAGAACAGGCAATGGCAACGGATGTCTTATGTCGAAGTAAGGTCGAGCCTATGTCCCCCAGCATGAGCCCACGCCACAACGTGTTTATTCCCAAACCGTTGTTACTGGTTGAACATCTCATCCCAGCCAAGGCAACCAGAGTAGTGCCGGCCATATCACTTGATCAAGATTATGCCAAGTTACCCCCGCGCGCGCTGATCCTTACGCCAGAGACGTGCAGATCCAACCGGCCGAGGCTTAGTGATAGCCAAAATCCTATTTCACATAGTGCTCCATGCCACTCAAAACCAGCCATAGCAGTCGGCCATGTCAAATGCCTAGTTGAGACACGCTGCGAGCATTCCGCTGAGCCCCAAGCCGAACCTCCGTCCAGAGCCGAGTCTGAGTTGGACCAGTTACTTAACGACTTAGAGTCGTTCATCGTTGAAGACCGTAATGACGCTGAGACCCCCGTTGAGCTTGGGGACGCCAAGTCATCGAGTCCAGAGGTGACTCGCGCAATGTTCTGGTCTTCAAATCAACCACTGCATGAGTTGTACAATGTCAACCAAGATATTGAAGTACCCGACAATGCTAAAACGTTGCATGTTGAGCCTGAGCTGGATGAAGGCTATATCCCGCTGCCCGAGAAAGACCCAGATAAGACCTTAGAGACACAGCACGGTCTGGGCAGCCAGTCGGCCCCACTTGTGCGTGAGCCTGGAACAAACCCAGAGGCCCAGCACACCCAGGTCACCGAGTTCCCCGGTGACACCCACACACTCGCGATGCCGGAGGGCATCTTTTCCCAAACTGCCGTGGAGTTAGAGGCCAAGCTTGAAGAGCTAAGGCCTCCCGGCCTTAACACACCTATGATGTCCAGGACATGCGCGCTTGTAGACCGCTTCACAGGCACCCCAGCTGTAGCATGGAAGTCCGAGTCCAGATGCGAACCAAGACGTAGCGGCCAGCTCAAGACTAAAGAGCTCAAGCCTCCCTGGCGACGCTGAGAGCATGCCCACCCCATGTGCACATAGAACCGCCCTCATCCTAGTTTAAGCCAACTTTTAATCATTTTCCAACACCTTTCGATGCAGAAGTTAAAGGTTCCCCTTTATTTATACCATCCACACACCACGCAATGCGCAAGCCTCATTCTTAAGTCACCACCCTCACTCGTTTAACCTATCAAGCAAAGTCTTTTATTAAGTTGACGCGAAGAGTTCTGACACCGAGTGGTGTGCCTTCCCATCTATGAAGCTCCCAAGGCCCCCTCATCCACTACCTCCGTGAAATCCCCACTCCAGTTGACCAGATCTCCAAATCCATTACACCCCTTTCCCCATAAACCGCCCACTTCCCCATAAGCGTTTGGGATCGCTAGACCCGAGTTTTGGATGCCAATGAAACAGTACCACCTTCGCTTTGCATGTATATCCAAGGCCCACCTTTCCACTTGACCCGGAATTCCCGCGTTTGTTTTGACCACAAACTCCCGAGTCGTCTAGCGCAAGTGCCATTAACTGCACCTTTGGCCTAAATCCACCCCAAGTACTGCCACTTGTCCACAGTTACCCATACACGGTCCATATTCGTTATACGACGTCGACGACTAGGAATGGCGATTTGACGCAATAAGAAGAGCTGTAGGAGATGATCATAGGATCCTAACGAGCCCTTGAATGCCAAGATTGGTGGGGAACTCAGCGAGATCGACAAGCATTTCTGAAGATGAGTGCGCGCGATGAGAATCCGTGAGAAAGTTTTGAGGTCACATGGCATTCCACACTGTGCGGAGTGAGGACTGGACTTTCTGATGTTTATTTCCCTTTCCTTGCTGTTTGACTTCTTTCTTTTTGGGAGATTGCAAGGGACTGCAATCAAGAGCTAGGCCTATATGTTGTGGGGACAAGTCCGTGCGGGTTAAAACGAGCCTCATTGCACACTTCACCCTTTACTGCATCAGGGATTAGGATTGGTGAGTCGGGGTAATAGTAGGAGTTGTAGAGGTTGTAGAGGTGGTTCTGACGAGTCTAAGATCGTTGGATTTGGTTTGGTTGTTGAGGAGATATAACATTTTCTTTATTATCTTTACTATTTTCATTCATTCACGCATGTGACTTTCCTTTTCTATTTGTATCGGACTCTTCCGTGACCCGCTGTATAGTTAGTTAGGGAGGGTTATCAGCACCGTACCCAAGGACCCCACTACATCTGTCTGACACTAGAGAGAGACCTACCCCCCCCCAGGCCTGAGCCACGAGTCTAGATTGATAGACCCGTTACAACGTCACCCTCGCACACAGCCGTAACCACCCGGGTGTCTCCGTGGGAGATCCCGAGGGTATCCGGTGCAGGCGTGCGTGCTGGGCACAGCGGGAAGTCGCCCGAGGTGCCCGGGCCGGGTACATGGTGGGCGCGCTGCAGATGGGTCAGTTGTACATTGATACAGAGAAAGTCGTCCATGTAGAATAAAGAGAGAATAAAGGAGAAGTAAGATAAGGAGAAACTGAGGAGGGGAGGATGAGGGGGGAAGAAGGGAAAGGGGGAGGAAGTAAGGAAGGGTGGACCGGCGGGGTACCGGGTCAGGTTGGGCCGGGTGGAGCCGGGTCAGGCGGGTGTGCCCTGACACAATCGTGGAATTACTTATTCAAAGTTGGATTCCGGATTAACTGCAGTTGGATATGCAGATGTGGATTGGGGAGAACAGAAGGACCGGAAATCCATTTCTGGTAACCTATTCATAATGTCAGGGGGAGCCGTTGCCTGGAGCGCCAAGAAGCAAGGGACCATCACTGTCAGGGCACACCCGCCTGACCCGGGCCCACCCGGCCACACCACACCCCCTCCCCGCTGTCTATCCCCCTCCCCCCTCCTTCCTCCCTCTCCTCCCCTTTCTTTTCCCTCTTCTTTCCCCTTTCTTTATTTCATTCTTCTCATCTTCCTCTTCCTGTTTATTTCTTTCTATCTACATGGACCACCTTCCTTTGTATCGATGTACTATTGACCCGTCCGGCCCACACACCCCGGACGGCTTCCCGCTGTGCCCAGCACGCGCGCATGTAGCGGACGCTCTCGGGATCCCCCACGGGGACACCCGGATGCCTGCAGCTGCCTCCGAGGATGACGTAGCACCTGTCATGTGACTCAAGCCGCATGTACATAAATGTACCTGAAGTGGGAACCGAAGAAGTAACCTTCTTCTCACATTCTCCACTTCAGTCTGAGTGGCCAGGGACCACTGTCCCGGATCGGGCCCGCCAGTACGCACGCCCGCTCCACACCCCACAACGGCCTCAGTGCCGGATATTACCCCGGGCCCTCTCGACCCCGGACGCGTCCCTGACAATCACCCTCTCGACCTTAGAAGCGGAATATGCTTCTTTAAGTCATGCATCATGCCATGTATTATGGCATCAAATGTTTATCCATGAACTCAGATTTGAAGTGGAGCGCCCATTCAATCTCAGTAATGACAACCGTGGCGCTGTTGCTTTAACTCGTGATCCCCAATTCCATGGCCGGAGCAAACACATCGATATTCCACATCATTTCATTCAGGAATTAATTGAATGCGGCGACCTCAAAATTCACCATATTCGGTCACCTGACAACTTAGCCAACATTTTCACAAAACCCCTTCCCGAAACTATCTTTACGAAGTTTGCTTCTGTCATTACCCAGGAAATGTGACTCGAGGGGGAGTGTTGTGATCACAAGTCATGGGGACCGGACACAGCCGGTGTTTATGTGGAGGACTATGTGGAGGGAATTACTAATTCCGTAGTCGCACAGGAGTTACCTTAACAGGCCGCTCCGCAATAGATTTACATTGTATATAAATACGCACAGATGGGCGTTGACAAAAATCATCAGATTTTACCTTAGCTTACATCTGGTCTCACGAGTGTTACCGCTGAGGTAGCAGATTGCCTTATACGGAATCCCTACGTTACAAGACTTGTATGCAAGTTCTGATTGTATTTACAGTCCGCGCATTAGGTAAAGGAATAATAACTCAGATCTCTCATTTGAGACTGCTCCTCTGCCTCAGCGGGGAGGTTGGGATCATACAGGTCATCAATGAGCTTATCATTGAATGTTTCATCGTCAGGCATGTACTCCTGCACCTCTGCAGGATCCTGAACAATTTCTGGTTCTTCTACAGGCTCTGAGTCCTGCAGGTCTTGCTCATCAGATTCAACAGCTATATTGTACATGCATGGTTTGGGCTTGTCATGATTTGGGCAATCATGTTGATACCCTACCTTCCCGCATTTATAACAACACAGTTTACCATCCTTATCCAAGGATGGCTGTCAGGGCACTGAGCTGCTCTGAATCCAAATCGAGGATCTCGGAGGTGTCAACAGAGTTGTCACTAGAAGGATGGAGGTCCACTTCAATGGGAGACCCTGAGGATGCGGTCCATGCTGAGGACTCCAGCTGAGCAGCGAGGGGGAAGTGAAAGAAGAAAACTACCTTCCTCACTCGCTACTCAGAGAATGATAAGGTCAGTGCACCTGGCTATGCAGGGCCGCTTCACAGAAAGAAATGCAGTACTAGTCCAGGGGTGTGATCAGGCTATGCCAGTCTGGGGATGGTGATCAGGATAGGTCAGGTGCTCTATAGTGTCATCAGTGGTGAGTAAGTAGCCGTACTCTGACAATGGCATTGATTTCGTCACTGTATGTCATATCCGTACAATCCCGACCTCTGCTCCGGGCTCCCGGAACTCTGAACCTGACTTCCAGAGTCCTACTTCCCTTCTGCCACCTCCTCCTTGCTGACTTCCAAGAGGTTATCCCACCTCCAGCTCCAACACCACCTTCGGTCCAACTCCGGAACATTCCAGGTCCGACCTCATCCTCGACACCTTCCAGATGAGCATGCAACACCTATGCTCCCGACTCCGGACCTCCGCTCGGAATCCCGTTCGCATCTCCGTCTCTGGAACCTCTGGTCTTAGCTCCAACCTCGGACTTTGACCCCACCTCCGCTTATACCCATTGTATTGGTTAGCTCATTCCATTTAATTGTGTTTGCCAATATCCCGGTAACTTCCGAGTTCAGACTCTCCAGACTTACGTTGGACCTTGCAACTATTGCATTGCTCCATTCAATTCTGCTATTCTCCCTCATTCCTATTTGGGCTGCTGCTTCCTTTCTATTCAGTCAGTCAGCCATTCCCCACTCCCATCCTCCTTCCTTCCTCCTTGGGCCTTGGCCCTTCACTCCTCCTTTGGGAAACACCATTGAGTCAAACCCTTGACCCTCGGTGTTTCCCAGCTCCCTTTGTCTGCTTTCAGAGTACCCTTGCTCCTTTTGATTCCGGACCCCTCCTTATATACAATGTACATAGTAACTTGTAACCTCAGTCCGAAATCGACCTGAAATGCCCCCAAGAGACTTTCCCTCTGCTAGATCCGAAATTAGGGACCCCCAGGACAACCAGCAATGGCACAGCGCTCCGCCTGAGTCGCTGAGGCCAAGGTCCTTCCACACTAAGTCTCCGATTCCACTCCGGAGTCGTCCAAATCCACCCGTTCTAACACTGTAGATGACATTGACTTCTCTGTTTTTGGAGCCAGCAAATAGCTCATGTGGAAAGTCGGGCATTGTCTGCTCTTCTGAGTGGTCCTGCTGAAGGGGAGAACGAAGGAAGGTCAGTTGGGAGGTTCAAACGAGACCACCACCAAGCTGTTCCCTGGTTCTTTAGTTAGGATGGGGAAGTGCACTAGTAATATTTGTTGTAATTATAGTACCAATCCGAGTGTTTTGGCTAATTCTATTTTATGGGTTAGTCTAAAAGTTTCTGAGAATTGACTTACAGATAAACAAAGCCCTGTGGAGCTGTTCCTCTATTGTAATTTCTCAATTTGTCTGGGTGTAATTCTGTGTAGGATTGTTTAATTTGGATTTTAACTTGAATTAAATCTTCTACTTGGTGAAGTTTCAAAGATTCTTCTCAGTTAATGATTTAGATTGTGTCTGGAGTGTCCCTTGAGTT